TTTTAAAAATTGTTCTACGTGTAAAAGAATAGCAGAGTCCACACCACAACTTAACAATAACGGCACAGAGGAATGATATCATTTGAATCACTTTCATAATGATTTTTTTCCAGCTGATGAATGATAAAAGGATTGAATCGGTATTCCAGTCAGTAATCATCCTTCTTTAAAGAGCTTGACATTTAAAGCCGCAGAGAACACATTTCTAGCACTTGCTTATAATAAACACCATTATCGTGTATTGGTGTAGGTGCTAATATACTTCTTGTTATAGGTATCGTCCTTGGTGTGTACAGAAAAGAATGGTTCCCTTTTAGCTGATGTTATATGAACTGAATTGGGAACAAGTTATAGAAAGTCGGATTGGAATGACAAAAAGTAGAACTTAATAAATTACACTTCAGAGAAATTCAGCATGTAATGACATTCTGGGAAATGAAATGTTTTTCCATCCTGGTCCAAGTCTGGAAAGCCTAAAAACTTTGAAACTTCAAGCCTTTTTTACACTTTCAGTTTATTTTGCCAGACGTAATTTTTTCAGTTCATTTTAATTCTACCTCCTTAAAAATCAAATTTCAGTTCTACTTCCTTTTTGCGACCTTAAATAATATTCACCATAATTTAAATTTTTTTAATTCTAAGTGGAGCACAACCCTGGTACCTTGCGGTTCCTGTCCTGTTTATGTACTCGACTTATAAGCATTCAAAATTGCCAAAATGCACAAATATCCAAGATTTTACTTTCATAACAATGCGTTTGTATAATCGACCTGATGTGCATAGAGTGGAATTATGGTATATGTCACCCACACAAATCCCAGATTACAGGCTGCCACGCTGAAACCTAACGCTGCACTAAAAACCCACACACCTTAACATCGTTAAAACAACACAACATAGTTAACCGAGTGCAATGGGCACAGTTTTTAGCAGATCTGTCCTCACAGTCACTCTCTGTCCTCACTCACGGCACAGTACTGCACAGTTTGTCCTAACTTTTGTGCACTTTTCTCTTCTTTTGTCTCGTTTTTCACTTCTGCATGGACCCTCTTCCACCCCTCCACATGTCTGCATGACATTCCCTCACCCCTCCCATGTGTGTACTGCATGTCCACGCTGCTGACCTCTGACCCTGCCCACGGCTCTGACACCCAGGACCACTCGGGCACACTGGGCACTGAGGAGTTCAAAGCCTGCCTTATCAGTCTGGGCTTCGATATCGGGAACGACGCACAGGTACACACACCAACACCAGTTAGGGAGTTCAACCATTAACCATGCTCTTTTTGTTTTTTTTTCCTCTCTACTCTCTTTTCTATTCTTCTTTCGCTCTGTCTCGTTTTCACTCAAACCTTCCTCTAAAATGACTTCCTTCAACCAATACTCCTCCCGTCCTCTTTCGCTCTTCATCTTTCTCTCTACTACTACCTGGCTCTGTTTGTCCCTTGTGGGTTCCTGTAGAAGAGAACAGGCATGATGGATGCAGAAGACTTCAGAGCCTGCCTCATCTCCATGGGTTATAATATGGTAAAGCAGAGAGTTCAAATCTCCATGGGTTGTGATCAGGTTAAACTGAAAGTTGTAGTCCCCATGGATAATGTACTGGTAACTGTTAATCTGAATCGGAAACTGATATTACTAATCCCAATGGATTAACCTGGAAAATCAGAGGTTTGTGATCAACATGGGGTATAATATGGTAAAGCAGTTTTAATCTCCATGTTTTATCTGGTAAGTCAGAGTTATCATCTGGTTTCGGACAGATTTTGTTGGGTTAGTTATATGTATGCGGGTTATTATTTTAGTAAGTATTTCTGGAAAAAGTAGCATGAACTATTAAAAAAGTTAATGGATTATAGTCAGGTTATAGTCCCTATATGACAGAAGATATAGTAGAAATGTATATGGATTTATATACTATGGATTTATATCTACTACATGGTATAACTTAGAAAAACAGATTTATACTCAACAAGGTGCGGCCATTTTCAACTGGAATGTGCAAGGCTTCTGGTTTCAGCCGCTTCCACTTATTTTAGCTGTACAAAAACAGTCCATAATGCTTCTTGATGCAGCAAACTGGTGTAGGTTATCATATTATTTTGATTATTTGTCTTTTCATAAATGTACTGGTTTGTTGCACAAATAGTTTTTCCGTTTTCCGCACTTTGTTATTTTTCTAGTTATTCATCTACAGCGGTGAATAAATCGGAAGTCTCACATATTTACAGGAAATAGTTTACTTCCACATTGAAAAATAAGGTGGATAATATGGTAAAGCAGAAAGTTATAATCTCAATGTATTATCTGGTAAGCCAGAGTTATGTGGTTTAGGACAGATTTCCTGAACTCTTGATTAGTCTCTTTAGATCTGTGTGGTTCAGTGTTATTTTAGTATTATTTATATACTATTATAATATTTATTAACGTTTTGAATTATGTATATAGCCTATATTTTTATTTCAACTATACGTTTTTATAATTTTATGTTTGCTTCCCATTTTTTTCTATATAGCTTTATTTTTTTTCAGTTTTATGTATTTATTTTAATAATGCAACAAGTTTAAGTTTTCATGTGATATTTATACTTTATTTTACTACAGCTTTATTTCAGTTACTGAAAGTGTTTTTTAAAATAATTTTAGCATTAGTTTTAGTTAACAGTAACAACACTAATGTGGTTATTACTTGAGAAAGTTTCTTAAGTATTCATAAAGTAGCATCAGCTGATAAAAAAATAATTGAGTTAAACTGTTATAATCCCCATGGAACATCACTCATTAGAAGCAGAAAGTTAACATGGTATATATAGTCTGAAAAAGCTGAGATTTACATTTATCAAGATGAAATAGATCATTTTGATTTTCATGGATTAAAAGCAGGTGTATTAGACCATTATCTCTAAATAAAACAGAGTTATTGAAAAAAAAAGTGCCTGGTAAAAAAAACAGCATCAACTATGCTAACCCAGTGAGGAACGATCTTTCATATTGTTTTCATAGTGATTTTTAAGAACTGTTTCTCTGTGTAGGGAGAGGCAGAGTTTGCCCGCATCATGAGCATTGTGGATCCTAACAGACTGGGAGTGATCACATTCCAGGCCTTCATTGACTTTATGTCTCGCGAGACGGCCGACACGGACACCGCTGATCAGGTCATGGCATCCTTTAAAGTCCTTGCTGGAGACAAGGTACATATACAACATCCAAAAAATAATTTCCCAGTGTTAAAGTGTCTAAATTAATAACCAAATGAATAACTCTGTCCTCATGCAGAACTATATCCTGGCGGATGAGCTGCGGCGTGAGCTCCCCGCTGACCAGGCCGAGTACTGCATCGCCCGCATGACGCCTTACACCGGCCCTGACGCCATCCCGGGAGCTCTTGACTACATGTCCTTCTCCACTGCCCTCTATGGGGAGAGTGACCTCTGAACCGTGACCCCGCCAACCTGCCTTCTGATACAAACACACAAATATGCGTATTCATACACACACATAGCTCGCGCACTATGAGAGTAAAAGTGGCTCTTCAGTGCTGATCTAGCACCAACAAGCAGAGCAAGCAGAACTGGTCCCAGATCAGCCCATCAGAGCAGCTTCCATCGGCACCAACCAATGACGTTCGCTCATTTTTGTATCCTCCTATCAGCCCAGGCCCTTCCTGTGTGTTATATACAACTTCCTGTTCTTTCTCCAGCTGTGTTCTTGGGGTTAGTGTCACAAAGATGCAGCCTTCACATGCTTGTCAGAAGATCCTACTTGGTAATTATGTGTATGTCACATTGAAGGAGAGAATAGGAAATGGGACAGGCAATCCTGATACTCTTTTCTCTGTGTAAATGTACAATATGCAACAAACGGTTACAAATATACTGTACATAAAGCATGGGGTAGGCAGCATCATTGTGACCACTGACCCATGTGATACTGCATGACCATGTGTTACGATTGATCCGCTTTTTTACATACAGTAAATGCTTGTTGATGAGACTGTTTTTTGAACGTTTTCTTGTGATGATGAGTCAGACTTCATGAATAGACCTTCCCCTTTCTGCTTCCAAGCGCAACATTGAAAAACTCCCTTCCAGGAGGAATGTTTTCTGTATTTTTACTTCTTATTTTGTTTGTTTTTTTCCTCTTCATAAAGGAATAAAGTTAACATATTTTATTATACAGAACAAAAAAGGTATTTTTCTTCACCTTATTAAAAAAACTTTTAAAAATTATGAAAATTTAAATAAAGAAACAATCACAGTTGTGTGTTTGTGTTTTTAATTGCTTGTATGAAGGAGAAATGTGTTAAGACAATTATCTATTTTAATGTAAAAGGAAAGACATTCATTTCATAACTAATTTTAACATTTATTAATTTTATTTACTCGACTTATCACTATTTAAATGAAATTTGCTGTATATTTCCTAATAAAACAGGAAAGTGTGGAAGAACATATATAAGAAATCCTATATTTTCACACAATGTACACATTTTATTTTATTTTATTAGCTTTTGATTAAGTACATTGATTAGAGATATTGATGTGCCATTTTGGCTCTGTGTGTTCTTTGACTTGTGATGTACTAACAAACACCATGAAAATAATTTACTTTTGTAAGTACCTATAGGACTAGGATAGGACTTCATATGTCCTCAAAGGAAAAGTGCATTATGTCGAAATTTAGAGAGTACACAAGCATGTAGATAGATGGTCTCAAAGCTAACAGATGTGGTCTAAAAGCCACAAAACTAGTTTTGATTTCTTGAGTTATATGTTTTCTGGTAAAAAAAAAAAAGGTTCTAAATTTATTTAGAAAATTTATTTCCATGACAAAGAACTAATATAAAGTTCTAATATACGTTCAAATATAACGTTAAGAGATCTATTGTGTTCCTTTATAGTTGAACTAAATTAACCCTGTAAATGAGCAGTTGTAATTTACACAGTAATTTCATTTCTATCCCTCATTTTTTTTAAAGTGGAAACAATACCTTCGTTCTTAGTTGTACACGGACGCAATATGAGGCTGTACAATAAGTCGCTGCGGGGAGTGTGGGTTTGTTTGGTTTATATGGCGGCGCCCAGTCGAGTCATGTTGAATTATGTCCGACTGACTTTATTCTTGCTAGTATGAAATTGTAGAATGACATGCATTAACTAAACGTGGAATCAAGTTCGTAAACTTCAAAAGAACTGGACAGTGAAATATGGGATCCCGATGCTGGTGAGCGCTGTAATGTGTGTATGCAGTATGAGCTGTCATTGATTATAGTCCAGTGTTTATAGTTAACGATTTTAAAAGTTGTGGAACGCAAGACTTAGTAATAACTAGACCGAAATCATGGTTTAAATAATAATAGTAATATTTATTGTAATTTACTGTAATATTAAATCTAACTGTAAATTACCGACAACTGTCATTTTGAAAATTGAGTGATGCAATCTTTGTCCAACATTAGTTACTAATATTTAATTAAGTCTTTTGTAAAGTCCCCCCCCCCTTTCAGTTAAGGGTTTTATCAGTGTATGTGTTCGTTTTTACGCAGTAATATAAAAACATTATGTAAAGCAAGTCATTGATGCCTAAAACAATGAAAAAATAAATACAGTTATAGCATAGAGTGACAAGAGAGAATATGTTCTCAGATAATTCAGTTGTTTTTTATGTATCGATGGTATCACAATTTTTTTAGTGTGCAATATATTTACAAGTTCTCTTTTTCTGTTAAACATTGTTGTCAACTTTCTGCCTTTGTCAAATCAATCATTTTGCCTGTATTGTGCTTATATTTCTGCTCATATTTAATGTTTGTCTGAAGCTGCTGGTTGTGGGAGGGTCGTTTGGATTGAGAGAATTCACTCAGATTAGATATGATGCGCAGAAGATAAAAAAGAAGGTACGTAAAACTTCATAGACTAAAACATAACGTCATATAATCTTTTCATGTACAGGCCAAGTGACACTGACAGAACTTCAGCCAGAACTGATTTATGCTGTTTAATAAAACATTATTATAGTTTCCTTCTTGTTATCATTTTTATTTTTCCGTTTGCATGTTTGTTTTAGCTTGACCCTACACTGGAAGCCCGGGTGAACACTAAAAAACAGTTGGCCATCCTTCAGGATGAGTATGAGGTAATGAGAGAATGAGATGAATAGATGGAGAATCTGTGTGTGCGCGTGTACACTAATGTTTTATAGTGCTATAAAGTTTTATAGAGCCATCTGCTGTTTTGCTGCGGACTGGAAGTTATGTTTACTCGCTAGTGAGGTTGTGGTAGTCTAATGGTTAAGCATCTGGCTTCTTAAATGCAATCGGTACAGGTTTGGACCTGACACAGAGTGACTCAGGAACTGTAATCGCAATTTTGTCGTGCAGTTTGTCAAGCAGGACACATAACACTAGGTTTCTCCAGGGAGACTGACTGACCCGGCAATTAGCCTGCTGTAAGTTATTTTAGACGGAAAGTGTCTAGTTAGCTGTTTAGTCTCAACTTGGTTCATTTAGCATCTCCATTTCAGGCTGTGGGTGGTCGAGGCTGTCATACTGCGATGGTGATTCTCCTTGACTTTAAAAACTTTATTTTTAGCTTTGCAGCCATTATAAGAAGTTACAGTGCTATTAAGTCTGACCTTCTGCTGGCAGACAGTAGTAGAAGAGCGCCCTCAAGTGGAACCAGGAAAATTTAGTCTTACAGCTGTTCATTAGATGATAAATATGAACTCCTGTCATGTGTGTCATCCTAATTATTTTATTTTAGATCTTACACTGACCCTCCATGAATCATAAAACAAACAAACACCCCGCTGTAGCTGACTTAGTTTAGTGTTCTCTTTGGGGTCATGAAGATTTAATTCAGCAAGGTTGATCAAAAGTGACAGCAAATACATTTGTAATGAAACAAAAGCTTTCTGCTGTTCTTTTGAACTTGTATTCATCCTGAAAAAAAGCTAGCATGGTTTCCACACATATTAAGCAGCTCAACTGTTTTCAACATTCATAATAATAAGAAATGTTTCTTGAGCAGCAAAGCAGCATATTAGAATGATTTCTGAAGGATCGTGTGACACTGAAGACTGGAGTAATGATGCTGAAAATTCAGCTTTACATTACAGGAATAAATTAAGTTTTTAAACATATTCAGATGGAAAAGTGTTATTTTAAATTCTAATAATATTTCACAACATGACTATTTTTACTGTATTTATGATCAAATAAATGCAGCTTTGGTGAGCATAAGAGGCTTTTTTCAACAACATTTTTGAACTTTAGTTTATGTACCATAGCGTCCAGGCCATTTGAATGAAACCTGAAATTTGAATTAAAACCTGACAATTGCTATTAAAGGGGTCATATGATGTTGCTAAAAAGAACATTATTTTGTGTATTTGGTGTAATGAAATGTGTTTATGCGGTTTAAGGTTAAAAAAACACATTATTTTCCACATACTGTACATTATTGTTTCTCCTCTATGCCCCGCCTTTCTGAAACGCGTCGATTTTTTACAAAGCTCATCGGTCTGAAAAAGCGAGATGTGCTCTGATTGGCCAGCTATCCAGTGCGTTGTGATTGGCCGAATTCCTCAAGCGTGTGAC